CTATAATCCATAAAAAGTACTGAAAATACAAATAACCTAGTAGAAAGTGTTTTAACAATCAGTGAACTGGCGAATACAAGCATAGTGAGCACGCAAAATAGCAAGAAAACATTGAGTTCGACATTAGAACCGTCGGAAATAATTCAAAATTCGAAGGTAAATTAAAATAACTCGGTTTGATGCTGACAGATTAATGCCAATAGAGAAAACAAACCAAAGAGGGACCATAGACTACATAACACTGGTGAGTGCTGTCAAGGCAGTATCGGTGTTGCCAACTTCAGACCAGGGTTGCCAGTTTTAGGCCGGTGTTGCCAGCTTCAAACCTGTGTTGCCGGATTCAAGCCAGTGTTGCCTGATTCGAACCAGTGTTGCCGGCCTCGGGCCTGTGCTGCCAGTTTAGTTTAGTGAAGTGGCCACTCGACAGCGACCGGTATCGACAGGTAGTATCGATTCAGATACTCGATATACAACTAATTCTGATATAAAAAGAAGCTTCCAAAATATTGAATTAAAAACTTTGTGCTTTTTTTAGGACATGAAAGCTAAATATTGTAAATGGTTGGAGTATTTTTTTTTTGTTATTTAATAGAAGAGAAAATCTTTTAATTATAAACAAATATAAATGGCTCGTCTACATGATTATTTATGCCAAAGTTAAAGTCAAAGTCAAAATTATTTATTACAATTAGCATTTTTGAACGTCAACAAACAATTTAAAGGAAGCTTCTTGCTCGTTTCAATGTGTACTTTCCTATGGAGAAGAACGAACAAGAAACTCCATAAGTTAGTCATGTTTTGGGTCAATGTAAAAAAAATTATCAACCGTTTTTTACTTTTCTTTACCTCCATGCCGAAACTTCTTTTACACAAAAATGAGTTTCTTAGAAATCTTTTGGGCAAAAATTATATACGGCATAAACGTTTACTTTTAATACTTGTCTATGTGGATAAGGCTTATACTCCAACAGTAAACTGTCTCGGGTTGATCATATGGAACGTACTTACATTGTCATTGGCTTATTTAAATAGTTTAATGGAACCGTGAAGGAAATACGTGTATATTAGTTAATTTGTTACTAAAACAACCACGACCTTTCAGTTTTAAGAGTAACATTGCTGCTACACTACACCTCAGTCCGTGTTCCACTTTCCCAATAGTAACGATTTCGGTGCTTAACGTCTCAAATACGGCGGCGTCGCGCGCTGTGTCGCTCCCCCGGCCTGCTTTGGACGTACCACCGAAACGCACTCCACCGCTTCACTTCAACACTAAGAACCAATGTGCACATCAGGACCGGGATCATGAGGTACGTGTTCTGCCGCTACCTTAGTAACTGCTAAACTACAACTTAGTCCGTGTTTCACTTTCTAAAATCAGAGCTGACACGCAGTACACGCGCTCTCACACGATGCATTAACATTTATAATACTCGTGCTGCACGAGAACGCGCACTGCGCGGTCACACGCCGCGTGCATTGAATGCGCGCGGCGTGTGACACTACTGCC